CCGTCTTGCCCCCTGGCTTTGGCCTGGCAGGCCTGACCAGGGAAAATGTCCCACAAGCTGTGCAGCCTTCGTGGGCAGGTCTGCACATGCCTCTCCCACCCCCAACCAGGGGCGTTTGCTGCCCCATCAGCGCACAGATCTCCACCGCCCAGAAAACAGCCCGGGCGGCCGTGCCGGGAAGGCTTGCGGCAGAGCTGGCCATCCAGGGGGGCGGGAGTGGCTGGCGAAACCGGGTGCCTCCCCTGCAGGGACGCTGTCCGGAAGGTGCTACTGCCTCCACCAGAGCAGGATGCCCGACACCTGGAGCTTTTGCACGAATCCTTCTGCCTCTATTTCCTGCTGTTGTGTTCCTCTGGGCATTGAGGAGCTGACGGCGAAGGCTGCACAGCCTGTGGGACATTTTCCCTCCGTGACAGCCCTATGCTACACCCCATAACCGTCCTCCCCCGAGGAGTTAGGGTTCCAGGGAACACACTTAGGGAAGCGTGGACTGCTGAGACAGCTTACCCTCAGGACGGTGGCGTGGTCGGTGTCTGTGGGTGCCCGGCGCACAGCAGGCCTTTGGTCGGCGTCGATGGACCGAACCCAGGAGGGGCTTCACTCGTGGTTGCTCTCACCTGGAGGCCGCCGAGTCCTTATCCCACGTCCCGGGCCCTGACCTGGCTCTGTTCCTCCCCAGGTTCATTCAGGGCTCAGGGGTCCGGAGCCCCTACACCTTCTACCACTGGCAGTACATCGACATCTTCGTGTACTTCAGCCACCACCTGGTCACCATCCCCCCGGTGGGCTGGACCAACGCCGCGCACAGGCACGGGGTCCGCGTGCTGGGTAAGAGCTGAGGCTGCGCCTGCCGGTGACCCGCGATGCCGGGCCTGGGGGCTGCCCCGAAAGGTGGGGACAGGTGGAGGCAGACTCGTGCTGGGGAGCAGAGGAATACCTTTAGTTTTGTGGCCGCTGGGTCGCTGTGGAGCTGCTGCTGAGACGGTGAGTGGCCTCCACAGACAACAGGCAGGCAAAGGGTGGGCCCTGGCCGGCGTGGCTCAGTGGATGGAGAGGCAGCCATGGCAAAGGGTCCCGGGTTTGGTTCTGGTCAGGGGCCTGCACCTTGGTTGCGGGCTTGATCCCCGGCCCTGGATGGACGGATGGATGTGTCTCTCTCACATCGATGTTTCTCTCTGTCTCTCCCTCTCCCTTCCACTCTCTCTCTTAAAAAAAAAAATTAAATGGAGAAGAGAAATATCCTCGGATGAGGAATCCAGAACAAACAACAACCCAACAATCAGGTGGCAGCTGACCCCTGGGTGCAGCAGTCTCTCAAGCTTCCCCATCGGGTCCTTCGTTGCGAGTCTCACACCCACGCCGGCCCCGCCGCCCCGTGTCTGATTCCGGGTCACCACAGCGATGCTGCTGGTGCGGGGACCTGCGCTGGGAGGCGGCGTCGGGAGGGGAGGGTCCCGGCCTGACCTCGCTCTCCGCCCGCAGGCACTTTCATCACCGAGTGGAAAGAGGGGGGGCAGCTGTGCGAAGCCTTCCTGGCCGGGGGCGACCTCTCTATAAATATAAGCATGTTAACTATATTTTAAATGTAATATTTAATGTTTTTCAGAATTACATCTTTTGACTATACAATAAGTTATTTCAACTCCTCATTAGCATTTCTGCCTCTAGATTATTTTCCGCTATAAATGCATTGTGATGAGCATCCTTTTGCATAGATCTTTGAGGGCATCCCTTAATGTGTTCTTGGGGACCCGGCTCCCCGGCTCCCCGTGACAGCAGCTGGGCCGCTTCTCGCTTCCCAGTGAGCGCCAGCTCCTGTCCAGGCGCCCGGTGTGGCTGAGCTTAGCTTCTCTGGCTCCTTCCAGTGGCCCCTCCCCCTCCTCCATCTCTGCTTGGCTTGGGCTGCGTGTGTGGCTTCCTCTCCCGACACCCTCCTTTCTCTTGGGGTTTATCGTTCCTGGCCGCTGTGTCCGTGTCCTTCCTGCTTCAGAGAGGAAAGCGGACGTCCGGCTGGGCCGCCCTCGGGGGCTGTGGGGTGGACGGCTTCTGGGACCCTGGCCGTTTGGTGGGAATCGGTGTCCAGTCTGTCCCGCGCCAGGCACTTTGACAAACACCTCGGGGCCTCACCAGGGTCTCGTCTTCGCCCCTCTGCAGCCGGCCGCCGTGGGGAACACGCCGCGCTTCCTGCGGTACCTGACCACTCAGCTCCACCAGCAGGTCCCGGGGGGCCTGGTGCTCTGGTACGACAGCGTGGTGAGCAGCGGGCAGCTCACGTGGCAGGACGAGCTGAACGAAAAAAACAGGTGGGCCATCAGGGCGGTGGCACACGCACACGGCTGCGGGGTGGCGAGGGGGATGCAGAGTCTCCGGTCGCCTGGCCATCAGCAGCGGCAGTCGCCTGGTCGCCAGGCGCTGTGCGGGGGTTGTAGGCCATTGTGATGGGCCGGGAGACTGCCCACAGCCCGTGGTTGAGTGGATGCGGGTGCTGGGGGGGTGGGGGGGGAGACGGTGGAGACCATGGGCCCTCACCTCGGCCCTCCCCTTGGCCCAGGGTTTTCTTCGACTCCTGTGACGGCATCTTCACCAACTATAACTGGGGGGAGGAGCACCTGGTGCGCATGCGGCGCCCGGCCGGGGAGCGCCTGGCTGACGTCTACGTGGGAGTGGACGTGTTCGCCCGGGGGAATGTCGTGGGCGGCCGATTTGACACCAACAAGGTGGGTGGTGGTCCTGGAGGCTGGGGTGGGGGCAGTGGCCTCCCCGAGGCCCCGCTGGCTGTGGGCCGTGCGTCCCCGCTCCCCTCCAGGGGGAGACAGGCGCAGTTACCCTTCCCAGATGGGAAACCGAGGCACCAGGAAACATCGGTGACCTGCCCCGGGGCCAAGCTGGGCCCCAGAGGCCTAGCTGCCGCCCACCTCTACGGTCAGATGGTACGTCCCCTGGAGGTGCCCGGGCCCTGTGCCAGGTCCCCTCTGCCTCCTGTTGGACGATTTGCTGGGCTGCCATCACAACCCCGGTGACTCGGGGACAGCAGGGTCACGTCACGGTGCCTCCCTTCGCGGGCAGCTCAGGGCTGAGGACAGGCGGCCCCTGCCGTTTGCTGGGCCAGCTCCCAGAGGCCTAGCTGCCGCCCACCTCTACGGTCAGATGGTACGTCCCCTGGAGGTGCCCGGGCCCTGTGCCAGGTCCCCTCTGCCTCCTGTTGGACGATTTGCTGGGCTGGCTT